TGTTCCATCTGCTCCTAAGTTACAATTTTTAAAGGCTTTGAGTCTTTGTTATATATTCTAGATTCAACATATGCCATAAGCAAGAATGAAACAGGTCTTTTAGGAAACACTGTGAAGGTGGAGGGGGAGAGGAAAAAAAAGGGTTATTTAATTTTCTGTTTGCTTTCTAAGCTGACTTTTCTATTGTTCCACAGCCTTGCTTACAAGCATCAGGCCACATCTTCCAAATGCAGTTTCGAATTTTTATTTAGCAAGCTCCTTCAGAGTATTCCCCCCAGCAGCCAGCTTATTAAGGCAAAGTCTTACTCCAGTGAAGTGGGGCCTAGGCTGCAAGCTTAGCAACAACCTAATCCTATTGAAGGACTGCCAAAACAGAGCAGCACCCCTTCCCCCAGCCAGTGACCCAGCATACTGTTAGTGGAAGAATCATTTTTACTTCAAGATATTTTTCTCTCGGTCTGGTTTCCATTATCAGACACCTGGTTCTGTTCTGCCCTTTTAAGAGATCATTCTTAAGAGATTCTTAAAAGATCTCTTTAAGACACCATTTTTGGTTCAGTTCAATCAGCATACACTAACAGCAATATTAATACATATTTAAAGGCAACACTTCTTGACACTTGAAAACCTTTATTTTCCTTTGAGCCTAATTTTCTTTCTCCAAAATTTTTCTCATAACCAATCTCTTGCACTGTGCATTGCTAAGTACAGCATCTGAAGAGCCTCTCTTCTAAATTATAATTCCCTCCTTAATCAGCTTTACCGTATTTCTCTTGTGATCATATTTTGTGTTAGCTAATTGGCATCACTCAGCACTGGCATTTCTCATTCGTAGATTTGGTATCTTCTACACATAAACAGTAACCACATTCAATAAATAAAGAACGCCATAGATCTAGGTTTCGCCTTTTATACATTTTCTGATTGATGCTGAGTATCACAGAGAAACAAAGGCAACATTTATTGCACTAGACTGGCATGAACAAGAGAGTCTTGAGTTTAAGGTCAAATCTATTAGGTTAGGTAAATGGTATTGAACCTACTGCTTATACAAAAAAAGACATAGCTCTAAAATGTTCCTGCTCAGTAGTAATATTCATGCATATACATATATGCAAAGTCTTCAAGTTTCATCAATAAAATTTCTGGAAATACGTAATTATTATTCTACTAAAGTGTCTCGTAAAACATCATCTCCTAACACTAAAGGGGGGACTCTAAGGTGCATACTTAGGTTTTCCAGGCATAACAAACATCTACAGGTCAGTATGCTGTGCTACAGAAACTGATCTTTACGATCAGAATTATTATATTAAGAATATTGTATTTTAAAACATTTTTCCCCTCTTGTCAAATAACTGCAACTGAGCAATATAACAACCTAGCGCTAATTTAAAACATCTTCAACCTGGAAGCTTAATTGATATATTTAATTCAATTCTCTGGCTTTCAGCAGTCAGTCTCTATGAATTTAACTTCTGCTGAGGTCACGTACAACATATCTACATTGCTCTTGCTTCTACAGCACATATCTAAGTCCTAAAATGTTTTGCCCTGTTCCCATCATATAGCAGAGAATTTCTCACATTTTACATCATCCAAGACTAGGAATTTCAGACTCACAAAATCACGGATTTTGTAGGGCACTGCTTGCATAAGTACTTGCTCTTGAGGTATTACTCTGAGTCGTGGACTGCCATGGGACTTCTCTAAATTGAATTCAGTAGTTACAGGACTAATTCCATTAAATAAAACTCAACATGAGGAATCTATTAACCATATGCCCAACTCAGTCCCATCCAAGTCAACGCTTAAAGATATATGCAAAAGTCCATTTTGATTCAGCATTCACTTAAACTAAAATCCATCCACCATCTAGTTCAATGTGTTATCATCCATCAGTGATGGGACTTTCCTCACCGAATTCTCTGGGAGCATCCAGCAGCTCACTGTACATCTGCGAGAGCATAAGCAACTTAACCATGTCTTGCAGGCAAAAAAAACACAGACAGAGCAGGTAAGTGACTTGCTTAAGGACTTCCCACCAGTCAATACCACAGCCAGAAACATGCCAAAATTTCCGTCTTTTGGTTTCGTCTTTAACCGATCAGGTCGTGCTGCTTTTACGTTTCTCGTCTGTTACATACACACAGCTGAGATAGGAACCTTAGTTAGACAGAAAAAGTATGTGGACGCCTCACCGTACGGTTCCATCCAAGCAAATAAGTCTGCTACCCACTGTCTGCTCTGGATCATGGAACAGAAGCACTTTATTCAGTGACATATGAAAAGGCACTAAGCCATCCCTACTTACCCAAAATCTGAAGTCATGAAAATAGGATAAGAAGAAAAAGCCTCCTATACTTTGCTGCTTTCACATCCATTGTTAGTAATAGCCTTTAACCTCCGTCAGCCTTCCTCCTCTCCCTCCAGATGAGGCTAAAAAATAACCCCTACTGCTGGTCTGCTGAGGTTGCGCACCCAAGCAAACTTTAACCAGCCTGTTCAGACAATGATCAGGCACCTGATTAAGTTTAGCCAATACAGTCACGCCGTGTCATTCGGGTAGTCACCCTCCCCTAGCGTCACAGATCATAGGCAAAGATTCGATCTACACTAAGTACCTGCCATTGAGTAATTCTGTATCTTTTGAGAAGGGAAACCTTATGAGGTGGGTGAACATCATTGGGGAGTCAATGTGAAAGTGTAATTCTTTTACTGTTAGCCAATTCAAGTTGCTAGATAATGGCGTTTCTCTTGATGCAGTCTTAAGACATCTCTTCCCAAATCCTATCCTGTTTCCTAGCATTCTTTTGAAAATGAAAAATTGACTTGCCCCACTAACAAGTGCAACAAATTTAGGAAAAAAATATTAGTGATAAACCAAAGGCTCAAATAAAAAAACAATATTCTAATTTATCTAATGTTACTTATTTATCTACTCTCTCTAAATTATGTCAAGGAACTTCTCCTCCCTTATAGCGTGAATTTAATTACATATTTTCTATTAAAATTTTTTGAATACCATCTTCCCCACATAACAACAACATAGCTTCTTCATAGGTGCCTGGAAGGGTGGACCTTCTGATCACCAGACCAGATTAAGATCACTCAAGAGAAAGGAGGTACCACTCCCCTCTGCTTGGACCAGCCAAAAGAGCAAGACTTCACGTATTTTCCTAACTGCAACTATTACATCTACTTCCTAAGCCGCAAGAGTCAACTGCCAAGAAACCTAGACATAAAGGACAGCTTAGTAATAAGGTACAGTAACATAAACATACTCAAGCTGCACAGCAGCCCTACCTTATATAACCACTGGAGTGGTTTGCTAATTTATAAGTAAAATGAATTGGCATCTCAAACCTGAATGCCTTCTAGAATCAGGGTTGAGGACCACCTTCAATCATAGGTTAGTAAGATAACGCAGGCAAACTAGGGTATGCAGAGGGGAATCCTGCATTCTCATCTGTCATCTTCCTGCTATTTCTGTCTCTTAAATTTCATGTCCTTTAAGTATGCAGAAGTGAAAATTTAGGATACTAAGCAGTTTGTAAAATCATTTCACAAATTAAATCACAACCAAGAAATTGAATACTTCATCATGTATAAAGAACTTATCGTACAATCTTCATCATGTATAAAGAACTTATCGTATGAAGCATTTTTCACCTCAAATTTTTAAACCAGAGATAAAGAATCTGAATTTGCATGCAATGACTGAAGGCAATAAGGTAGTCCTGAAAACCAGAGACGTTTCGCAGTCCCTCAGACAGAAGCCTATTTTTTTCTTTTGTCAATAGTACATGCATTTCTTTTATTTCTTTTCATAAAGGATAATAATTAGGTGGAGTGTAAAAAACAAATCGTCTCTTTATGCAATAAGGGAGGTTATAACTAACTTGAAATTTTCCATAATTAAAAAAGAGTATTTATGTTGTGGCATGTCCTGTTTGTCTGTCTCACTTTCAAAAAGAGACATTTCTCTTCACAGCATCTCTACAGCTACAATAATTTTTAAAAATGCAAGTAAGCGATCAATGTCACTTGGTCTCCTTGGCATTATAAAGATGAAGGTGCATTAAGGGACCAACTGATGAAGTATTTAATCATTACAGTTTGATGACAGATATACAAAAGCTTCACTCAAAGTATATGAATTTGTCACTAAAAAGTAGATTGATTGGGAAGCTATAAATCAATCAGTCCTTCCCTGTTTATTGTGCCGCATTCTTGAAAACTAATAGTAGTTTCCTATAAACACTGACTATAATTTCACCTTCAGTAAAGAAAACGTGATTTCTTTGCAGCCACTTTCAAATATAACACTTTGTTAACGGAAAAATTAGGTAAGATTTTCACAGACCTCAAACAACTGTTACAGGACTATAGGGATAGATTTTCAAATTAAGTGTATTAAGTATGACTTGACTATAGATGGAATACTTCAGTGCGTAAACATAACTTGAAGCTTTCACAAATCCTCTCCAAATTATTTTCTTCAAATATAAATCTTAACTCACACCAGAACACCCAGCACTAATCAGTAGTGATTTAGTGGATCTAGTCAAACTGAACAAAGTCAGCATTTACAGAGCAGGGCAATAAAACAACGCTTAAAAACGCTTTGGAAATTAGAAACTCCGAGTATAAAACAGACCTTTAATAACGCATGGTCCCAGGATCTAGCATGCATCCGTTATCTGAATAAATTCAAGCCCTTCCACAGTGACTACCAGAATGGTCACTGAACATTAAAGAGATCTGGCTGTGTACCGCACACCTGGTACCTAGTAAGGTTAGAAAACTCTGCTTTGGACAATGACCAAAAAAAAAAAAAAAGAAAAAAAAAAGAAAACCCTACACCACTGATGAGTTTAAACAAACAAGCTTGCACCACACTTACTTCTTAATATATTTAGGTACGTATCCCTACTGAGCTATTCAAACATACCGCAGCATCTAGTTCTGCACTTCAGTAATTGAGAAAATCAACTTACCCTGTGTTTTTCTTTAATCTTCTTCCTGTATTCTTCTTTGTCAAATTTGTCTTCTTCCCGCAGTATCTCTTTCACTTTATCTAAGTTAATACCACTGGCGTCATCTTCCTCATCTGCTTTTGCCAAACTGGATTTTTGCACAGGCGGCCACTGCTGCACTAACTAAATCAGGCATAACAACAACAAAAAAAGCAATGAAGAGAAATGCTTTTCCAACACCAAAGTTTCAATGTCCTAAGCAATCCAATACATAGCCATACATTACTTTTCTAGACTAAATAAAAACGCCATTTGCAAAGAAAAACAAAACATTCGTACAGTAGAAACTCAGATATCATATTTAACATTTTAGATAGATTACGTTCAGTCAAAAATAAAGCTCTGAAAATAAAGTCTCGACTACACCATTTTACGATTTAATGGATTCATTTGATCTTTTTCCTCTATTTTTCCTCACTTTACCAACGACACAAATAATTTATAATCCTGTTAGTCACTTTGTGGAAAAAAAACACTGTATTTGCTGTCAAGAAAATACTCTCCACAATAAACACAACACAACAGAACATGGTAGATTTAAACAGCAGGCCTCCATGTAAACAACCAATGTTCCAACATATTAACCGAAATAAAAATGAGAGAGAAGCCTTCATCACATAGTGCGTAGAAAAAAAAAGTGACTGCAGGGTCATGTTTTCTGGTAAAGCAGGAGGGCAAACGTAAAGCCTTCTACTGGCTTTAGTACCAAAACTGGATTAGAAATGCTTGAAGATTCAAGCTTGATTTGTGGATAACAAGCTGAACACACTCAACTTAAATATCTTAAATATCACTTAAATATCTGGAACTCCAGTGTGAAGACAAGGACTAAGTAAGAATTAATCAAAAAAAAAATATGCACACACACACACACACACACACAGATATATATCTATCTTATGACCTAAAAACTTCTACCTAATTGTATGAGCAGTAGTTCTTTTGAGGGTAGTCTGTGAAAAATCATTCTTGCTTATGGATTTGTAGAGTAGGAATTCTTAAAAAGAAACGGCATATGACAGAAAATATAGGATACCTTTCAAATAGTTTGTATAACAGGCAAAAACATATTTAGGATGCTGTAACGCACATTAGGTGTTATTTACCTGGGACCTGATGATCCCAAGTCAAACCTACTGTTTCTACTTCCTTTCATAAAAAGGGGTTTGTGTACTTACATTAAGACGACACTTTTCTTAAGAAGTTTTATTTTTATCAAAGAGAAGGATGTGGAATAGCACAGTACAACTTTAAAGGACAGTTTCAAACAGCTCAGTAAAAAAGCACAAATAATTTCTGTAGATGCACAGTTTATGTTTCCTTAAGTGACTCAACCCTCTTCTCTATTGTGCTACTTTTGTAAGTACAATCCCTGTGCTAACTTCTAGTCTGGACGCTCGCTCATTTTTACTCCATTGCACGGACACATAAAACACCTGCTTATCGACCATCAAGACTAATTTAAATTTGAATGCTTTGCTCCTCCACAGGCTCACCTCGCAAAAACAGTTCCGAATTTTTAAAAAAAAAAGGTAATCCCATTTTCAGAAATTCTTCTATCCAAGTTTAAGAACAAAAGCGAACCCCCCACAAAAACATCTAACAGTCTTTCACCTTTACCTGATAAATTGGGCTCAGATAAGACTATAATTAATGGGCCAGAGTTACGTGTATTAAAAAGAAGACATTTACGTGCAATTGAAATACCTGTGAAGTAGCCAGTCAGATACACAACTGATCACTCACAAATCCAGGTGCATCAAAAAACAAAGACTGTACTATCTGATATTTTGAATAGTGTGTTACTACAACTACAATCATCCTTCATGAAAATTCATGAATAAGTTCTACTGCAATGTCTTAATTACATAAAATGATAAATCAGCTGAATGTTGCAGAAATATTCTTCAATCGTTTGCTAAAAAATTGAAGCAAAGAACGTCTGGTAGCCATTAGACAGGTACCATTTCTACAATATTCAGGTTCCCCACATTCTCCCCCTGCGCCCCCCAACGACTAAAATAGTTCAACAACTTTATTTCTTCCAATAAAGAAAAAGGGGGAAAAAGGCATTTGAATTTCAGCTTATTTAGAATATATTTGGTATTTTCCTCTGAAAAATCCTTATAAGTAACTGAGCAATTCATCTTTGGCAGGAGTATGTAGACAGAGAGAACCACAGGCAATCCTGAATCACAGGCTTTCCCAACACTTAAATCCAAATACACCTACGCGTATTCAAAGTAAAACTTACAGATTATCTTGTGGAGTGTCATCACAACATTTTCCATTTACAATCAAATAAAAATTAAGCTAAGCTTTGAACATTCATTTATTAATTTCATTTTTCCTTCCCTTTTTGCTTACTTCTATATATGAGCGTATGTGCCTGTGTAATCGTATGTTTATATGTTTGTGGGGATTCTTCTCATGGTCTCCTCGTGATGTCCAGTGCTCCATGCAGATGGATGGGAAACACCAGTATAAAAGTGTCTTACAAACCCAAATACAGACTTCTTTCTCCCCTGATCAGGGATGATTATATGACAACTTTACTTCAAAACATCAGTTTAATATGAGTTATTTGGAAAAGTACGTAATCTATAACTAGATATAAATATTTAAGTATGAATAATCTAAATATTGCACGTACATTTCAGAGATGAGATGACTAGTTCTGAATAACCAATATCATCTGATTATACCATTTCTAATCAACTAGGTAACCTCTCAAAGCTTTTATATTTCATCAAACAACAGTAATAATATGGCTATGCTCCCTTCACCCCTAATATAATATACTTTAGAAATACCCCGTTGTCAGGTCACAAAAACAAGTGAAATTTGTAAAGGTGACACCTCTGTTAGTCTAGACTTTACTGAAATTAATCCAGAGAAGGAAAAAAATATTACTATTTTAATACTGGAAATGGAAAAACAATGTACGCAGCATCTGAAGCTGTGAAAGCAAACATCAGAAAAGTTTGCGTAGCGTGCAGATTTTATTGCGAGGTTATCACCACAACAAAATCCTAGAGTGACTAGCAATTTACAATAGTTCCTCTCTGTTACAAAAATCAATACATTTTTCCAGGGCCTATCAAAAGATCCAGTTAAATTACTGGCAAATTTCAATGCCCTGCTACATCAGCACCAGTTGGTAGACCCCTGGCGCTCCCCCTTAGCTTTTCTGACAACACTTTCAAACTAGAAATAGCGAATGTTGGAAAGAAAGCCGGGACTCTCTCTAATTCCAATATATTCACTCAAGTCTATGGGGAAGCAAGCAAGCAAGCGTCTGCAGGAAAGTCAGATTACACTTCTGTAAGGAAGAATAGGATCTTTATTCCACCTGCAATTGGATTTAACAGGCAGGAAAGAGATAGAGTTGGATACATATGCTAACAACTCTCATACAAATATGTACATAGCATGTGAGCAGAGGTCAGTACTCAGCACTTCTTTTTTTCCCCTCAGTGGAACTGAATTTAAATGCAAGCTGAACTGTTTTGCAGAACTGAACCCAGTTACGAAAACCACATGCTTCTGAAAACTATATTATCTTTTCATACATCTATAAAACTATAGGTATATTTGTCTTTATAAAAACCATAAATTCAGACCCCACCAAAATACAGTTTATTTTGAATTGATCTTACCTCTCCGTCTTCAGTAAAGACTATTTTTGTGTTGACTTTAAATTTCTTCTTTAAGATTTTTTTGGCTTCTTGTGTTTTAGTTGCTTTTTTCTTCACCTTTGAGTTTGAGGCATTCTGCATAAAAGAAGAAATGAGATTTCTTATGTTCTGTTGTTACTGTTGTTCGGTTTGTTCTTCACACTTTAATATATGCATTTCCTTTTAAGAAAAGGATAATTCCTAAAACATATGAATGTGAGTATGAGGTCCAATAAAAATCAGCCAAAATGCCTTTTCATAGCCTGCCTTAACCAGGTCATAAAAAAAAAAAAAAAAAAGTCAGCGTAACTTATCTCCTACCAGCAGCAAGACACCTATCTCATCCAAATCTCACAAGCCTATTTGGAACAATGGCACTGGATTTAGTAACTGATGCTGTCAGCTAACAAGTCTTGTCACATAGGAGATCCAGCATGACTGGCTGGAGCCACTAGCCACAACGGTAAGCACAACTGCTCCGATACCACTTCCGTGCAGCTTGCGATGAGGGCGTACGCAGACGTTGCGGCACACCAGCTTGAGTTACTCCTGCATCAACAAAGGGAACAAGCGCTCTTGCAAAAACCTTCCTCTTTCCTAACTCTTGCTCATTGCAATCCCATCACAGGGTAACAAGTAAGTTCTAGAAGTGACTTAGTGAACTCAGCATTAAACAACATTCAAAATTACCAAACCTATCAGCATCCTACGAAAACTTTATAAATGAAGCACAAAATGCCAAAGACACCAGGGAAACTAATCAGAGTCAGTAGAAATTGTGAAATTCACAGGCTTTGATACCATTTCCAACAGGCTGAGGTTGTTCTCTGCTCGCTACCAAGGAAAAAGCAAAACTGTCCAGAAACTGCAAGTAGCACAATCAGGATCCCTGCGTAAAATTCTCTGATCATGAAGTTACATTTACTTTCCTTGTGTGCAATGTTGTTGTTGGAAAGAAAGCAGAAGGTCGAGGCTGGTTTTGACAAAAAAGAGGATTTATCCAGAGTATTTTTGCATTTGGGAGGTAATTTACAACTGTAGGATGAGCATTTCAATGTTAAATGCAGTAGAAAAGAAACTAATGTCAAGTCCATAGATGGTCCCACATAGGTTTCGCAGAGCCATACATCTTGTGGTAACATCAAAACACCATGGAAACAAAGAACGTGGATGTTCCTGACCTCCAGCGCTTCTCCAGAACCCTGCCTTCAAGAACAAAAGCCATACGTATGCAGGCATCAAACAGCATACGATGCAGAGAGCAGCAATAACTGCCGTTGCAGCAAGTGTTTTATAGCAAAAGACGTCCCACGGGTATACACGCAGACTCATTAGGAGAAGACACATAACCCACTCATTGTCCTGTGAAGACTGCAAAGCTCTACTATTCAGCAAAAAGTGGCTGCCTGGAGAAACAGCATAAACTGCTGATAAATAATACAAGTGATCAAATCAAACCAGAGAGAAAAAGGAAAATATGAACTTACAGAAAACAGTAACTGTAGCAGCACTTATGATCCAAGTATTGCCATACCACTTTTTGTTGCACTATGCAGCTACTACTAAGGAGTGCTGCACACACATCTTTAATAGCTCAGAAAGCTGTGCTGCTCCCTCACTCCTGTTGCTTACCTTATAAACACAAACTGTTTGAGCATCTACACGAGCAAAATCTCTTACAACATGAGCTACTTCACAGAACAATAGGAATTGTCCAGAGAAGAATTTAAAGAGTTGGTTACTTCAAGCTTAAGGAGTAACGTTTCTCACTAACATAACATTTTCTTTTACCATTTGCTTAGGTCTTTGTTTTTTTAATCTTCTTCCCTTTTCGCACTACCAGGATTATTAATTAGTACCAGCATAAAATAATGTAAAAAAGGACTGAATGCTTTAAATTGGCACATCAGTCTTCTGTAAGGTTATTTTTAAATGTGTAACTGCACCTTAATTGTTTGCATTTCTCAAAATAAGAGTTTTTCTTCCAGCTAAAGAATACAAATATTCAGTGGGTTGATTCTCCTAGCATGCACACATAGGCAGTATTTTCAGTTGTACCACTTTCTTCCTCCCTTTGCCAAAATCTCCAAACAAACAGGAAAAAGAGGGGGCGGAAATGAGTGGGACACTAAATTCCCCCACCATACACTTAACAAGCATAGTATAAGATCACTGTACAAATTCTGCACATTTACGAAATGCAGCATTCATGAAAGGTAAGAGATTGGATTACTATTTATTCAAAAATCATATACAGAAAATAATATTAGTATGAACTTCTCCACACTCCACAGATTAATAATCCGAATTTTCTATTGGGATGCTCTTGTTGCTTTGCTAAACTGAATGCACTTAAATATGTCTGAGCCGGGGCACCGTGGGCTCCTGCAACCAGCTGCAGCTTTGGTGCATGACAGATTGCCTGCACCAGGCTCGGTCCCTGGCCTCCTCCATCCAGGGCACCCCGCACCCCTGTCCCACCAAGCCCTGCCATTCATGCCCAGTGCACGGCCCTCACCCACGGTCCCAATGCCACCATGTACCTTTGCTTTGACCCTGCACTTGAACTGCTACATTAAAGCATCCCTTCCCCATCAAGGCAAGCTCCAATTTATCCACTGGAAGTAGTATCTTCCAGTGAACACGAGTGAATTTAAAGGAAAAACTTCTTCACTGTGAGGGTGACAGAGCAGTGGAACAGGTTGCCCAGAGAGGTTGTGGAGTCTCCTTCTCTGGAGACATTCAAAACCCGCCTGGACGTGATCCTCAGAAATATGCTCTAGAGGACGCTGCTGGAGCAGGGGGGTTGGACTAGATGATGTCCAGAGGTGCCTTCCAACCTCAACCATTCTGTGATTCTGTGAAAGTTTCTGCTGTTGGCTAGACTTTGCTCCTAAAGCCAGATCAAGGCTTGGGCTCACTAGAAAACACTGCATATTAAAACCTGCTCTACTAATATCGATCACAGTAAATCTATTTCCAAAGCTGAACTATACCATCAAAGCAGACAAATGAGAACAAAAGCGGGAATACATGAAGGGATTTAAGGCACGGGTTTAGGTTGCTATTAGATGTTAAAGAGAATCTCAGGTTGAACTCGAGCTGTTAACACAAGTTACAAACCACAGCTGGTGTACGCTTGCCTGGCAACGAGAAGAGGCTACCTCGTGTTAACCAACGTATACTAAGAACACTTTGCCCTATACTCAATATAAACAGGCACTTAAGTCTCAGGCTTTCTTTTATAAAGAAGTGGTAACAATTGAACTATCGAACAAGATTAAAGTAAGAATCAATCTCTTTAAAATGCTATATAACTAGAAGTTAGTCACACAAGAGCTTATCAAAATATCATTACACGTGGGCTCAGCAGGATTTTCTATTATTACTAATCAAAAGCCTAAATTTCCTTCTCCTTTCGCACATGCACATGCTAGATGTTTTCCTGGATTAGTTAATGAGTTAGAATAAAAATTAGCTCTTAGCAGCTGAGAAAATCCAAATGCTTTGTTATATAAGCAGAAGCAATGGAGCTAATAAACAAGTTCTTTTTTATTTTTCTTGACAGAAAACCAGGTTTGTTTGTTTTTAAGAGATCAGATATTCTTAGCTAAGGCTCTATGAAAAAAAGTTTTCTAACTGAAGACACTAGCAAGTTTAAAACCTCTGATTTTCCTACCTTTCAATTACAATTTTTGCTGAGAAAATATTTCTTGCTTGGAGTATAGATTAGAAAATGGGTGACATCCTCAATCTGCTTCTCCTGTCTAAAAACTTATTTAATGCAATTATTAAACTACACTATTCTAACCATTTCCATAAATTACGTTTAATTGGTGCGGGGAGTAAAGACAGTGCATCAGAAACAGAAGTATCAGTACATTTTGCTATTCTAATAAGGACTGGCTTTCCATACTAATAAAATTTATGAAGTAAATAGTGTGGACTTTGAGTATATAATCCTCAATAACTCAAAATCAAAGCCCTTACGTCTCTAACTGTACCCGAGGCAAATGCGTTTGCTTTGGACATTGTGCTTTGAGTGTTACGAATCATGAAATGTAAAGGTTGCTCGTTTCTAACTATGATTTTCTTTTTAATTTCAACTCAACTAGCCTGTGAAAGCAAACACAGTATATTCACTACAGCAGTGTCTAAAGACAGGACTAAATTATCGTAGCAGAGTAAAATATCAGTAGAAAAAAATTATAATCACTTCTTCCTTCTCATTGGCTACAAAAAGTGTTACTGCTTTTTTTTTTTTTTTTTTTTGGGGGGGGGGGTAAGAGTTTTTCCCCTTATACCTTAGAATTATTAGGAAGAACGGTCATGTACTTGGAAATTTTTTTTCAGTCTCTTCCAACACTATTATATTACTTTTACCCAGAATTCAACAGCAACTGCCTCTGAGAAACAAAACTGATTTGGCACCCAGTTTCACACAGTTGTTTTTGTACTTCTTCAGCAAGTACCCGTACTAGGAGCAAGCATAAGCACATGCATGTTATCACCCAGCAGCTGGATCCTCCAGTCAAACGGCTTAGTTCAGCCTCAGAGGTCATTCTTCACAGAACGAGCCACGGTCTTGTCAAATTAAAGCTACCAAATCTTAGACACGGAGAAGGGCTGTCTTCACCTTTGTGCCTTGCATTGCATACTGATATTGCCTTCACCTGATAATTGCTACTAAAATTGTAGAAAATTCGGTCTCCTCCCACCACTAGTCTAACACAGCCTAAGCAAAAGCATTACTTCTTAATCCCATAAACCTTCAAAACTCCGACTATGACACTTAGATTAGTGACCAGAGAGAGGGTTAGAGGGTGGAGGGGTTCTCACTCCTGCTCCCAGACATCCGGCCATAGAAGCAGCAGTGAGATGCCAAACGTCACACCACCGTACACTATTGCAGAGCATGAGAGGGAAAAATATCAAGAGAAGCAAAATGTGATCAGTTTGAAGTCTAGTCTATATCACTTCAAGTATCCAGAAAATTCAAAAAAATTTCCCCTTAATAATACTATTGTACTCAACTAGCCATTTGTCTGTCGAATAGCAAGAAGCAGGGAAGCTGAAAAGTGGGGCCTCAGGATGCAACAGGGCCACACATGCCGCTTTCCTTCGTGGTCTGTGGTAGCTAGATGGTCTCTGTTTCACTCTCAGGCCCACATTTTTACAACAACAGCTCTTGTGTTGTCCTTCCCTATTTCTCCTGACTGCTCACAAGCCACAGGCTGCTTTGAACCATCTTCAACCAGAGCAACCTGAATCCACTGAGAAGCAGCAGTACAAAACAACACAAAGTTCTTCAAGCCATCCTTCCATTTCCCACAGCACAGCTCCTCAACCCTTCCCTGGAAAAAGAAACTTCTCTTTTTAAAATTATTTTTAAAAGGTCATCTAAGCAAGGCTAATTTGGTTTTGATGAAGTATTCTTCCTTTTTTTTTTTTTTAATTAAATCTTAAGGAAGGAGAAAGAGGAGCCAACAAGTGGATCCATGCACAGTATTTCTCTCCAATCAGAGACAAAAACCCAGGTAACTCATTAG